ACTTTAATGCGAGATCTCGCGGCTGAAATGGTTTTTTCACTGTACAGTCTCGAGCAGTATCGATCAATTGCTTTTTTGTTTTTTTTTTTTTCCACGCTATGCATTTCAACGTGGCTGCAAGGCCTGATACTCTGCTGATGATCGGTTATCGAGGCGCCAGCGAATAATGTCGACATTAGCAGAACACGCTTCTCAAATACCTGCGAAATTTTCTTAAAAGTACAACAATAACAAAATTATTCTTAATCCGTCCCACATTTTCAACTCAACGCTACAACTCAATTTTCCTAATACTATCCAAAGATTTTAACAGGAGAAAAATTGAACCAGTATCAATTAGTGATGTTAATACGAATTTTTCTAATACTGAACTACGTAAACAAACGATACAATTTATCCTCGCGAATTTATACGAAAGAAATGACATTACTCTCTGGCTCCTCCGCAAGATCGTTCGATTCACATATTCCATCGAATGCCAATTCGATCGTTCCAGCTTTCCAAGAAACAATCGAAGTAACAAGTTTGACCGGTCGATGATAGACTTTCGGTGCTTAACAAACAAAAAGAAATACTTCACCACCGAAGAACCATTCTATTCGAAATAATTTTCCACGTGCATGTCTACGGGCAAACGGTTCCTTCGATTTCCTCCCTGTCGCCCAACTTTTCGTCCTGACATAAGTACGTGTGCCGAGGGAACATCGAGGAAATCGATCGAAAGAGTCGCGATGGCTCGACTAAAAGAAACCTCTAGAGAGAGAAACGTCCTTTCTTTCTTAAAATCGTTGCTTCTGACTTCGACGATCACCGTCGATACGCGGAAAAGACGGTCCCTCGTTTCGTCGCCGGTTTCATATTATTCTACTTCGTCGCATGTAACGTACGTCTGGGAAGAAAAGTGCATGGCGCAACGTGTTTCTCTCAGATGACATTTGGCAAGGATCATTTCACAGAGCAGAATTAGAATTTCCGGCAATAATTATGTACGTCTGGCCAGGAATTCTTCGCGAATTCCCGCGGAGCGCCGACGATTTCAACGCCTCGCTCGATTTCCGCTTCCGTAATAGCGGGGCGTCAGACCTCGAGACAGTGATCGAAGTTCGTCGAAATTTTCGTAATAACTTACGGAGTAATTTTTTTTTCTTATTTATGAGAGCGGTGTTGATTCTTTTTCTGTTTCTTTTTTTTTTTTTCTAGGTCAAATAGTACACCGTGATAAATTGAGGCCGGAATTATTGATAAATTTCAGCGAAGGTTTGCGTTAACTTCGAGGCTGAATGGAAAGTGGAGTAAATAAAATTCAATTGTACAGAGCTGTACATTATGATCTACAATAAATCAAGATTTCAATCTGGATTGTAATTCGAATTTGTGGAATTGATGCTTGATATTAGTGTTTTATAATTGGAATGTGCACCTAATTAACTTCAAATTTTTAACACTTTTATACATAATTTAAATAGTTTCAAAGGGTAAATAAGATAGAAGAGAAATTTTTACATAAATGCCATTTTTTCTGTTCTCCTTTCTTTTCCAAAGTCGCCATTTCTAACATGGCCTTGGAGTCTAAGATTTTTAATCAATCCGTCAAACAAATTTTTCTTCCATCTTGTTCACCCTTCGAAACCATTTAAATTACGTAGAAAAATTTTTAGAATTTGTCGATAATTAGGCGACCTGTTTTACCCGACGCACCCTGTACGTAATCGCCGAAAAATGAAAGCATGAAACCACTGCTGGCACAACTGAATGGAGTAATTAGTAACGATAATTTGAGCAATTTACATAAAGGAATTCGTTTGATTCTAGCAAAACGTAAAAATGCTGTAGGTTGCAATATTTCATATCTTTTTTTCAAGAGCAAAAAATCTTTTCAAAAGCTTTCTCTTTCTCTGTAACACGGTTTCGCTGTGAAATTTCTGTGGGAGGTTCGTGCACGTGGAGTCCTCGCGGTATAATAGACACAGACCTTGAATACTTCGAATTTCAGAGAATATTTAGACATTCGTGCCAACAGTTGTTATTTACACCGTTAGTAGGTTAAATGTCAAATTTTGACAATTTTATTGCCGACAGCGTGACAGTTGTTTAATTTCTTCACGCAGAATGTAAATGCTAAATAACGACTCTACTTCATTTTTAGACGTTAGAATACTTTTACTCATTTTTTATTAATACAGCCTTCGTTCAATTTTCCAATTCATTTGATGCACATTTGAGAAAATTATGTCGTCAAATTGTTAAACAAGATGTACATTTTTCAATGGAATTTTTATCTTCGGCATTAAAAATTCTGATTTACTTGATATTCTTGTCGACACTGGTATCGTCCACGTTATAAATGCAAGAATATACCTTATTTTATTCGCTCAATTTTTTCTATGAATAATTCATGAACGTACTCGTAAAAAAAATATATAGTGTTGCAATCGAATTTCTTTTCTCTTTAATTCGATAAATTTATCAACATGTTCCATTACTTACATTCTTCCACCAGACTTCATTTTTATCCTTCCAACTACACGAAAATTAAAAATATTTCTAAATCAGTACTGTTTTCACATCTCAGTTCACAAAGTCTAACCAATTTCAATCAAATTTCTCCTTTCGCTTTGATTCAACAAATTCGTCGGTATGTTCCATTATTCACAATTTGTCCCCAGACTTCATTTCTATCCTTCCAACTATCCTTCGATTCAGAAATTCAAACTTCGTCAAACCAAACAGAAATCCTTCGTTTCCTCATCAATCTCTCCTCCACCCTATCAAATCTCAACATTCTAAATTCCCTTAACCGTTTGAGTGCCAATCGCGCGCGATCGCGCTTCTTCTATCCTGTCCTAAAAGCGCCAGGCTGCGAAGCCCGTAATCACAGAGGGGTCGATTTTTTTCGATGCACGACTTTACGGTTACCCTTGAGTCTTAAGTAAAAAAAAATATAAAATTAATATTAATATTTATTACATGTAAGCTGAAAACAGCGCAATCGCGCTCTTTGGCATTTTCAGACACGGAATATGACGAGCGCTATCGCGCTCTTTGGCATTTTCAGACGCGGAATATGACAAGCGCTATCGCGCTCTTTGGCATTTTCAGACGCGAAATATGACGCCGCTTGGCAATTTTCGACCGGGAAATAAGAAAGGCTCGTGGCACTCAAACGGTTAACACATTCCACCAACCACAAAAGCAACCGCACCTTACTCCACGCATAGCCCTGCACTTTTCCCCAAATCTCTCCGTACGTATCACGGTGAAAGCGAGCAGAAACTGCAAACTAACGCGAACACGAGTATACACCGCGGCAAAGGACGAGCAATCGCTATTCAAAAGAGAACGAGATGGACAATCGGTCATTCGAGCGTCGTATTATTTATTAACG